GAGGTCATTTTTCAGTCTTTGAACCTTGACAGAAAGGTTTCCTGGATCCAGCTCCATGAACACTTTTTGAAATGCTTCAAATGTGCATTTGAAATTCTTGGGGTATTTCAGATCCAGAGCATAGCACAGTCCCAAAAGATAGCAATAGGCTTTGCTCAGATTCCCAAGTTTGCCCAGAACAGTAACGCCTTCAATAACAATACCCACATCAGTAGGTTCGCCTGACCTGTCTTGAGTCTGCAGCAGGTAAATCTTCATCACCTCCTCAGCCAAAGCCGCTTCAACAAAGACAGCATCAGCACCGTCCTTTAAAAAAAGAAACAACTGTTTTAAGCTCACATATTTCCAAACATTGAAACAAAAAGTTTCATTTGTATGACATCACCGGTACTCATAATATGTGGACACTGTGCTCCAAAATCTTTGAGCAAATGCTATTCTTTTGTATGCTTTGAAGTGTTTTTTTTTCTTTAGAACAGTATCTTAAAACTTTTCTATGATCTCACAAGCTAAAATAAACTACTAATATTCCTAAAACAGATTTAGTGCACCAACCTCAAAGGTTTTGATTAAGGCACTTGGATCCTCTCCCAGATGGTCAATGAGACATCTGATGATGACTTCTCGTTTTTTCTCGATGGAATTTCCACTCTGTAAAACAGGAAGTCTCAACTGAGGCAAAATTTGCACATTTAAAACATGACCTACCATTTCTAGCTTAAACATAACTATTTTTTTTCTGTTGTTGACCTGTTTTCACACCCACCATCAAGGTAAGAACACCTGTGGAGCTAAAATATTGAACAGAAACCTAAGAAAAGCCGTTTTTAGTGGAAGGGTCTCTTCAATGCTGTGTTGGAACGTTTTTGTGGTTAGAAAATGCAATCTTCCTTACCTGAAGCAGAAGGTTTAACTGTGCTCTGTGGCGTTGTCCAGCAGCACCTTTCTTGGCTTGAAACAAGGACAGGAGTTTGGATGAATACAAGTCCAACGATGACATGAACTTTGGTTCAAGGTTCAGGGTCGTGATCCTATGAAACTATGCACTGACCTGGATGGGAGAGGACAAAAAA